AACAGAAAAAAAATTGAAGATAGAAAGTAGAGAAAACTCAAAACAAAATCACAAAACACAACATAAACATAAAAAAATGCAGTAGTATTTTTTGGTACGGAAAACCCATTGGTCAAGCTCAGCGACAAGGAAAATAATTGCTTCCTCGAATATTGAAATAAATATACATAAAAGCCATATACATTTGTATATGTATGAAAATATATATATATATATATATATATATATATTTATGATCCTATATAAGTTGATGAATAATGTTTAGCTACAAAACATAATGAATGATGTACAAACACAACTAAAAAAATATAAAAATATCTACAAAGCCGAACAAACTATACTTAAATATGATTAAGATAAATTTTGAAAAACAAAAATTTAATTATATTAATTCTGGCTTCATAACTCATTAGTTAACACCAAGTATATATATAAAAATATATAAAACTAATCTACACTAATACATGAAAATCAAATTGTACCAAACTGTCAACAAACAATTGTTTACTAATTCGAAGAAAAATCTACATTCTATATATTAAATTTGTCATGTGAAGAATTTATTATACACAGTGAAACCCCGTTAAGACGTTTTTCTGGTGGCGTATTATGCGGAAAATAATGCGAGGCAAAATCGTATTAACGGGGTTCCACTGTATAACGTGTAAAATTCATTCTATTACAAGATGCCCCTAATTCTAGCCCGGATATAAATAAACTCTAGTTGAAATATTAAATAAATAGCACTGTCAACAATTATAATTGTAACTAGGTGTGAGTGGCATTTTGCCTTAAGACAAGTAAAATGACGACTCCTTTCAATACGAATTGAAAGTTTTTTGAATCATTCAAATCGGTTGATCCGTGCCTTGAAATCGTCGATATAAGAATGTATCCACACATACATACACATAAAACATGTGTACTTACTAGGAGGAAAGTATAATCAAGAGCATAGCATTCTAGATCCTCTCCTCATAAAGTATTTAGTCGGTGTTAAACCCAGGCTGTATTAAACCCGACATACCCAGACAAAGACCTAGTCTGGTATTCGTAAAGGCATTGCCTTCGCTATACAAAAAATATTTACAAATTTTCATTTTTCTGTTAAGGTATTCTTAAAAATTCTAAAAAAAATATGCAAAAAATTTCATATTGATTTTTTGCCCTAAAGTGAAAAACATAAAATTTGTTATAGAAATTCTATCCAAAACGGCGAGACCTGCCTTTACCAAAAACTAATCAAAGCACGCTTTCTTATCATCATGAATCGAACGTTTATTTAATCAATCAAATCGGTTGATCCGTGCTCTTGAAATCATTGATGTAAAATCGTATCCGCATATACGTACATATAACACCCATCCAAATGACACTAATTAGTAAAAAAACTATAATTAAGACAGAGAATCATAGTATTCTAGATCCTCCCCCACGAAGTAATGTTTAACGGCGGTTTCCTGGGTATAAAAGGCAGAAAATAAGCGAAGGTTTTTAATACGTATTATACACAGGCGATCTTGAGCACGACATACTCAGACAAAAGACCTAGTCTGATATTCGTTAAGGCATTTCCTTTGCTTTGTCTTTCATTATTCTCTAAGATATTTTAAAATATTTAGAAGACTTGAAAGAGAAAATATGCGAAATTCCATTATTTATTTTTTTGCCCTGAAGTTGAAAAACATAAAATTTGTTATAGAAAACTCTCCCAAAAACTAATCAGCACGTCTCCGTATCAATAGAAATCGAATGTTTTTTAATAATCAAATCAGTTGATCCGTGCTCTTGAAATCGTCGATGTAAGATTGTATCCGCATATACATACTAATACACATGCATACAAATGAACTAATTAGGATGAAAGTGTGATTAAGAGAGAGATCATAGCATTCTAGATCCTCCCCCCACACAGTGTTGCCTAACGGCAGATTTTTTGGGTATAAAAGGCAAAAAATAAGCAAAAGTTTTAGTATGCATTAAACCGAGGCGGTATTGAGCCCGACATACCCAAAACAAAGAACTGATTTCCTTCGCTTTAAATTTCATTTTTCTCTAAGATATTTTAAAATATTTAGAAGACTTGAAAGAGAAAATATGCCAAATTTCCATTATTGATTTTTTTGCCCTGAAGTTGAAAACATAAAAATTTGTTATAGAAATGGCACTAACAAGGAAGAAAGTATATTTAAGAGACGATTCATAGCATTCTAGATCCTCCCCCATGAAGTAATGTCTAACGGCGGTTACTTGGGAATGAGAAGCAAAAGATAACCGAAGGATTCAGTGAGCATTATACATAATGCAACATATTGTCAATTATATTTTTTGTTGACTAGTACTATTTATTCCCAATATATCTCTCAATAAACTATTTCTCCCAAGCAAACAAAAATCAAGTTTAAATCGAAATATTTGACTTACCGTGTCTATGCAATCTCATACAAACTATCTGTTAAGTCCGTGGTGAGTGGAGAATGGTAAACCACAAATCTTCGATATGAGTATCCCCGAATGTACCTCGAATTGTCTGATTGAAATCCCTTCCGGAAACCATTGAGGTTATGGGATAGGTAAGATCTAATAAGGTTCTCCACCATTGATTGGTTTTCTGATAAAAAAAAAACTAATTAAAAAAAGGGTTAAAGTTTTGTAGGTAAAATATTTATTTAAATCAATCGAGCAAAATTAGAGCTCACCCTAGCCCATTCTCTAGCTTTTTGGGTCACAGTCGTATATTTTTCTCAGAGCACCACAGTGCTCCGATGAAAGATCCTATGCTTACTCCTCCTACCATATCAATTGGTATACCAGCCTCCTGAAAAATGTAAAAAACAGTTAATATATTATTAACCTTACATACAATTTGTTAAAATTAACACACTTTGTAACTAGATAATTACATTTATTGTAACTAGATAATTACATTTATTTTCAGAGGACAAGCAAATGATGCTAAGGATTTTTTTTTTTTTTTTACCTGTATAGCTCTGACCATTCCAACATGAGCAGCACCTCTGGCTCCACCTCCACCGAGAACCAGACCAACTGAAGTTCCGGTGAGCCAACGTGCTAATCTTGAGAAATCAGAATGGAGATTTGGTTCTGACATCAAACTTTCGAGTACAACTCATTCTAAAGTAAACAAAAAATTAGTAAAGCGAATTCTATATTTGAACGTATCATTTATACTTACTATTCTATATTGGCTTTTCCTAGTAAACATCCTCTTTGGACATTGTATGTGATGATGTGAAGAAACCCAGTTTCTCATATTCAACCACGCAACTGTGTTTCTGGGGTCTGCAAGGTGCACCTAAGACTTCCGATGGAGCAACACCAGTTCCTTTGGTGTTCTCATTGCCCAAACGTTCAATCTCTTTCTCAATCTGAAAATACAATTAAATTAAATAACAGTGGTAGGTATCGGTATTAATGAAAAATAAAAATCTATTACCTTTCCAACACTTGGAGCTCTTTCGCCTAAACCAATAATCAGCACGATATCAGCCTGCGGACACATCTTTGTGTCCAGGGTGTGAGTCCATTATCACATTGATACAGAGACATTCTGTGTTGGTCTTCCTGCTGCGCTAACCAGCCTGACAGGCGATATTCACTATTGGCATCCATTATGCCTGCTCCTAGAGTCTGCGCATTACTTCTGAGGTCAGTCTTAGGGTTGGTCCTAGAAGGGGAAAATATAAATATTTATTTATTTATTTATTTGAATTACAATATATAAGTTATTAACATAAAATGCTTTACATAAAATTACATAATGCAGAATATAACAATATTATTTATAAACAGAATACGATAAAATAATAAGATATCATAAAAGAAAATAAAACGGTTAACTTGCACAGATGAAGATTATTTGATTAGGTGAAATGTTGTGAATATCTATTCATTATTAATTAAGTTAAAGTTAGAGACATAAGTAAAATTGGCGAATTTAGAGAAAATTAGATTTAGAAGTAGGATAATTGAAAAATAATTGTGACGCGAAGATAGCCCTGGAACATTAAAGGATAGTTGATTGAGAATAAGAGGACAGTCTATAGAATTATTGCAAAGCTTAAATAAGAACATAATTGTACAGATAAATCGACATAAGGCAAGGGAAGGAATACCAAATTCTTTTAGTAAAGTGTTGTGTTCAGGGTAAATTTTATATGTTTTATAATAAAGGTATTTCAGAAATTTTCGTGAACCTTCTCTATCGCATCAGAGTTGTTGATATGATGAGGATGCCAAATAATCTAACCGTATTCTAATTTTGAACGTACAATAGAATAGTACATGCAAAGAAGTGCATTGATAGACTTAAATTGTTTACAATTTCTCAGTATCAAACCTAAAGATTGATGTGCTCTATTACAAATATCAGTTACATGATCTGTGAAAAAACAAACCAGATCAAATAGAAACTCCTAAATCTGAAATTTATTACATCTATCAATGCTGGTGTTAGAAAATTTTATAATCAAAAAGTATTGGAACGCGCTTATGTGTAAAACTAAGAATCTTGCACTTTGATATATTTAGATGTAATTTGTAATAGATACACCAAGATTGGAAAAAGTCAAGTTGAGACTGTAATAATAAGCAGTCATTCAATAGATTTATTTTGAGATATAGTTTCAGATCATCTGCAAATAATAAATGTGGACAGCTAATAATATCAGAAATGTCATTAATAAAAATAATAAATAGTAGTGGACCAAGAATGGATCCTGAGGAACACCTGAACTAATATTTTCAATGTTGCTCAAGAATCCATTAAGATAGACAACTGTTTACGATTATGAAGATAACTCTTAAAAAAGTGAATAAGTGAAGATAGTAGAAGATTAGATAATTTAGTAAGAAGAATGTTATG